GAGTATACTTAACAGGGCCTCTTCTCTACAAGTCCACACCTACAGTGCACACAGTGAGCTTGAGAAATCTTATATTCCTTGAAAAGGAGTGGCTTCTTTATTTGAACTGTCAGACAAAAAAAAATGAATTGGCCTTAAAAAACTAAATTTGATGCAATTGCTAAGAATTTGGGAGCTGTTAAAAATTTATCTTTTATTACTGAAATTTTTATCATTTGTTTGGGGCGGGTGGAAGAGGGGGTGTTACATCTAAAAGCAATTTCAGCATTGTATTTGGCATTTTGCCTACTGGTGTTCTGGGATACACAACAGAAGACAACCGCAGAATGTTAGTTTAATTTGGTGTCCTTGCAAGAGTATTTTAGAAAAATCTCATTTCACTGTGGTTATAGCAATGGTGAAGTGTAGTCTCCTTCCCCCAGACGAAGAGGAGACAAGTTACTGTACTCAGTGTAGTTGTGTTCAAAAGTCATAAAATATCCTCAAAAAGTTTTGGGTTTATTGATATAATCTCTGTGTTTTGAGTAATACCATGTCAAAAGTCAGGAAGGGATCTTTGAAAAGTTCCTCTACTGCCAAATCCAGATGTTTAACTGTCATCACTCCCTCATTCTACTGTAAAATTTGTTTTTTCTGAGATCGGGAAAGAAAAATTACAAGGGATTTTCCCCCAGTTTCCAGTAATTCCTATATAGGATTAACCTCATGTTTTTCAAGTGGTTTTGCCTTATTAGTATGATCACCTGAAAAGGTCATGCTGTGTCAGATGTATTTAATTCATCTAGGATGTCTGCTATTCTTGAAGGTGTGCACATGGACAGCTGTGAATCTACTGGGGGTGCAAATGAAGTTGTAGGCATCCCATTAGGGCCACTCATTACAGTACTTACGCTTCCAGTTGCATGATGCTTCCTTCCCCCTATTCAAATTGGGGTTGTCTTCCCTCCTGAAACTGTGTTTTCTCCACCATTTCTAATTCCAGAAATTCAGTGTGAAATATATTTTGTCTATGATACCAGCTAGGATATTTTTTTTTCTTATCCACAGACCTACAAACCTCATGTCTCCATATGTCTACCGAAAGTTTCTCATTAAAAATATCTAAGAATAAAGATTGGTGGCTCTTCCTGCCAAATTGTGGCTCTGCATGTTTCTGAGGTCTTTTGAATGATGGCTTGGCTGAGGGCAGGTAAAATTGATAAAAGTGAAAGACAACTTAAAATGTGTAGTCAGCACTTTGTAACTGCTGCCATGCCATATCCTTTGTTTTGTTTCTCTTTGTTGTTTGTTCTTTTTGTTTCCAGTTCTTCAGGTTAGCACAACAGAGCACTTAGCATGGTAGTATCCAAATGAGATCTTCAGATCCTAAAGTATAGTTAGAGATTTCTGTAACAAGTGTCCTTTGAGGGGGAAGATGTCAAATTGTGTCATGCAAGGCAGCTTGTTGTGAGCTGGATGTCTTCCAAGAGACTCTTGTTGCGAGTCAGACTGTCTGCTGCTGCTTTTCCCCTCAAGTGGAGTTGCTTACAAATCCTTGACAACAGTGGAGATCTCCCAAGCATCTCGTCTACCTGAAAGGGGGTTTCAGCACTTCAAATGACCATAAATTTTTGTTTCAAGAAAGTATCAGAACATGACATTCCCCAGTCATTACACTACGTGCATTGCACAAATCCTGTAAGATTTGGCCCTGGCTGCACAGCAAATCTTTGCTTTGTCTGCTTCCTGAAGAGGATAATAACTTCAGGAGAAAAAAGAAATCCTTCCTGAAGAACGTCAGGAAATCTCTGGTTTGATATGACCCAGCTGGCTTCTTTCATCAAGTGATGTACATGCACTGGCCATGATATATTATTATAATGCCTCATGCTGATTTCTCTATGTGATGAATGAATATCTGTAAACAGCTAGTGAGAAATGTCTGAGTGTTGGCAGTCCAGAAAAGGAAGTCACCTTTGCTTTCTGCAACAGGCATAACCCCTACATGTAATTATTTCTTCCACTGGTCTCTGTGAACGACAATGAGGTATCATCTTGCCTAGCCAACTAAGTGGAATGAGAGACAAAGAATATCACCCTGAAAGGGGGAGAAATAAATCTTTGTCTTCAGAAGATACCGCTTGAAACTTTGGTATTCCTTGGTATAATTCAACAGTGCCAGCATATACCACGGGGGACAGAGTTTCTGCCTGAAAGCTGTTCGCTAAGTCTGCAGGATGTGGGAAACCAATAATGTGTGTGGGTTTTTGCCACAAACCAAAGCTGTAAAGAAACCTCTATTCTGTACTAGATCTAAAGGTCCTTATCCCTAAGTGTATTTTCCATGAAATCATAGCCTAGTACTGGAAAAGGTCCAGCTGCTTGGTTGAATGCCTTCAGACCATCTTTGCCATCTTCCCTATCAACCTAGCCCTAGATAAAGATGTTCTAAAAGCAGCCGAGTAATTGAGGTCTGTAATCTTTGAAATTAGTCTTTCCTGGAAACACACTGTGACATCTGAACTACTGTGCTATATTCTTTCTGAAATTATGGGCATAAGTGTCATCTCAAATGCATTACTGTTGTTTAGAGAAGTAAGAGAGTGGCAACCATTAATCAGCAATTTTCATTTGCTGTATTACTTGTGATGTATCTGAATTAATTTCTAAGTCTTTTTCCTAGTGAGTAAAACAGTCTCATCTCTTCTATGTTGACTCAGTGCATGATAAAGGATCTCGCATTTGCACAGGGCATCTGAAGCCTTTCTTCAAGAGAGGACGAAAGACACTGAGCTTAGTTGCTTCCGCCTGTCACTTCTAGAGCTGCATCAAAAATGAACCAGGGCTTAAATGACTTCCCTGTATGCAAAAGAAAATATTTGTAAAGCAGAGAGACCTGAAAGTCCAGGTGTTCTTTTACTAAACATCATAGTATGCATGTTAGTTATTAATTTAATACAGATTTTGACCAATATATTCTAGTGATTTTGAATGAAAAAAAATTATTACATGTTATTTTTAAAGAATTAGAAGGCATATTCTCCTCTTTGCACTGTATCCAAATTGCTGCTGTTACTCTAAACCACAATTGATGTAGGTTATAGGTAGTCCATAAAACCATCTGTTATTTTGCACTACCAAAATCAGTATAATTTTGCAAGTGTGTAGATATCACACAACTGTATTCTCTTGATTGACTGTGTTGTGTTTCAATCATGTATTCAGAGAAGACAACACAGTACTATAGAGTTGATGTTTTGCATGTCATTAGAAACACTTGTAGTGGGTAAGAAACCTTTTCTGCACAACGGAGCTGGCCATAGAGCTGCATCCTGCTCACCCTGTGATACTGAACCTGCCCTGCATTGCACCCCAAGCCATATTGAAGATGTCTGCCTCGTAAGACACTGCAATGGATCCTCTTCTGTCATGGGATGGCTGTAGTGATTTTATTTACAAAGTAGTCTGAGCCTGGAAACCTCCTGTATTTCTGCTCTGATGAGGACACTCTGATCATAGGTAAGGAAAGCTTCAGAGCAGCATAGAAAGATAAGAAAAGGATCTGTGAACTGAGAGAATGGAAATTTGGTAGCTACGAGAAGGGAGACATGAGATGTCACAGGACAGAGAACAGAGCTATGACGTTGCCAGAGGAGTGGACAGGTATGTTTGTCTTTTGTATCTTCTATTACTTTTGGACACGGTCCATCTGGTTTACTGTGTGTATTTGATGTCTGTTGGGTATGCAAAGGTGCAACACAAAGCAGCATATTCCAGTTATGCAGTGGTAACAGGAATGTGCTACTGCTGTTTGAAAGTGCTGTGAGATAGCTAGAGACTGTCCGACCCAAAGACCAGGGAACAAAGACTCATTTAGTCTGTGAAGACTATTCTTTGCTGAAATATCAGTGTACGTTCCTGTACTTACTGAAGCAGTGTTAGCTCTACAGTACACTACAGCCTGAATAACGAGGTGCTCAAGTTCAGGTCTAGGCCTCTTGCATGCTGTAATAGAGCATGCCACAGAGAAGCGGGGACTATTACGCAGATGGTCGTTTGATCATCTGTGTAAGATCTGCCTTATGGCAGTGCAGAATAGGGTTTTTTCACTCTTTCTAACCATTGATCTTTGTTAGAGACAGAAAGTGTGCTGGGATTGTTTTCATCAGCTTTTGTTTGTTCTGCGAACAACAAAAGGGAACTGTTGGGAGCTGTATTCAGTGTTGGCAGTGAAGATCCCGCTCTTTGTCATTGTCTTCCTCAATTTGCCAGCTAGTAACAGAGCATATAGAGAACTGCCCTCTGCCTTCTCACACAAGTGTCCTGAAACGTTTTGGTAAGCCTGTGCCCAGGAGCGTGTTCAGTCTGTTGTTAACCCCATGCGGATAGCACAGTTTGTTACTGAATTACAGCTAAAACAGCCCTAGAAAAGCTATTTTAATTGTAAGAAAATGAATTCAGATCCTGTCTCACAAATCAAATTCTCAAATGTTGCTAGGGAAACGGAAGGCTGGACAGAGAAGCAGTAACTGAAATGTGCCTGACTTCCAAGGATTACTGTACCCATGAGGTTACTGGTGACCTTACTGGCTAGACACCCCAAGACTCTTCTCCCTTGATTTTCCATTGCCATTTTGCGTCCTTTCCAAGGAGACAAATGACTTGGTCCTTCTGCCACCTCTCCTTGCCACTGAGGAGTAGCAGTGAACAAGGGCTAAGACAGACCCACATCAAGGGGCTTGCCAGAGTTAATCCGTGGGTGGTTCTGATGTGCTCTAAGTGCCGCGTCGCCTGTGAGCAGTACAAGTGTTCTAGCTCAGCTCTTTGCAGCTCCCCCTCCTTGTTTTTTTTTCCCCTTTTGCTAGCGAGGAAGCCCTTCAATTGGATGGGCAGCAGAGCCAGCCCAGGGCTCAGGAGGAACAATGACCAAAGAACAGATTGCAGCTTGTAAACCAAAACCTCCCCAGGGGCTGCTGCTAAAAGGAGATTAGAGAGAATTCTTAGGCCAATTGGCATCTGGATTTCCCCCTGCTCCCCAGTGCAGTTGCTAAATTTCTGGCCTATCTATCAGCATGGCAGTGTAGTCATAATGTGTTTATTTGCTCCCTCCTTGGGCAGGTGGAGGGGGAAAGCATGGGCATGGAGAGCTGTACAGGGCACAGTAGTACAGTAGTGCTGCAGGACCGATCAGAGCTGCACCTTTCACCATCACACTGAGGAGAGGTCAAGGAGCCCCAGAGAGATGAAAGGGATAAAGCTAAGCACTGGGGAGTGCCTCTTATCAGAGCATGTGTGCCCCAGCCAAAATGTCACACAGGTTGGCAGGCTCCCTCTGCTGAGCCACCCCTGCTAACCTCTAGCCAGCTGGTGATGGTGCAGGGAGGGTTGTTTACCGTTTATTAAGATGTTTGAGATTACATGTTATGGCAGCCTCATGGGAGGTATATGCCCCCAGCCACTATTGTGAAGGGCTTCACGGAAGAGCTGGTTTCTGAGCTGACCATGGAGAGCCCTGGCCACAAGCAATTAAACAGTGAGGTGTCATTTTACACTCAGTTGCTGGGGACCAGGAATTAGGAAGGGACAGGGAGGAACCTCTGTGGCCTCTAGAACATGACTTTAAGTAGTTGTGGTTTGGAGAGTCAGTGAGGCAGCCTCTGAGTCTCGTGTGGCGTGCAAGCACCGGAGATTTTTACCTTTGGGAGTATCTATGGCTGAAAAAACCCATACTTTTAAAAGAGTACATTGATTTCTTGCCTGGGCAACATCTGTGAGCTTTTTATGAGCATCTGCATGAGCATGGTAAGTCAGGAGGAGGGGTGTGCTATTTACCTGTGTGTGCAAGTCTGTACTGGCAGATCACGTATATTTAAATGGACATAAGACATTTGTCAGCTGTGGTAACTGCATTGCCCTGGTTATTTAAACAGTATTGTTGGACATGTTTTACATTTGAGGGGAGTTTTATATGAATCTATCAAAAGCAGATGCCAGAGATGATGTACATGTGCGAAGGCCTAGGGCAGGACAGGGCACATATACACCAGGCACGGTTTGAGGATACCAAGGGATTTCTACTCTGGGGCTCTCTGGCTGACCTAAATTCTATCTGTTCCTTTGAAGAGACATTTTGGAAAGGGGAAAGATTTTAGAGTGAGTATGCCACAGCAGTAGCAGTTTAAAAACAGCAAACCATCTAACCCTGCAACAAACAACTTGCTTGTGAAAAAAAAGAGCATCTCCCCCCCCAAATATTTATTTTTACAATGTTTTTGAGATTACTATTTTTAAAATCTTGGCAGGTGAGGCCTGGGCCATGTTCAGGTCATCATGCAGAACAGATGGAGAACACCCCAAAGCACCTCACAAACCACAATAGACAAGAGGTCCTCAGGGTGTATCACCTCACAAATGAAGGGGCCCAATATTCAGATACCCACAGATACTGCTCCTGCCCTGACCCAGAAACCACCTCTCAGAAACTCCAGGAAGGGAAAAGGAGCTGAATGGAGACATCGGTCCCTCTGAAAATGGACTTGGCACCCTCCTTCCTCATAGTTGCCCACCCTCAGCAGGCTGGCTGGGAGCCTTGTAGTTTGCATTTAGAAACCAATAGCCAGGATCTGTCAACTGAACTTACAGGTTTGGCAGACACAGAGTTTCAGTTGCAGGACTCCTGGATCACAGCTCTGAGGAACAAAAGTCTAAGCATATCTCTGAGCATTTCTTCTCTCAGCAGCTTCCCTTCTTGGTGCATTTTCTTTCTCTAAAGAAAATTTCAGGGTTTCCTCCTACAGAAAGTGGGGAGGACTGAGGTCCTAAGATAGCTAAAGCTAGAATAGAAAACATCGCCCCATTTCCATTCCCCTTTCACCTGCTCTTTCTCATTCCCTCGCTTTCCCAGCTCAATCACCCAGCATTCAAAGACACAGCAGTTCCTCCACCCTGTCGTTCTCTTCTGCACCAACTGTCCAGCCATTTTGGAGAGCATGGCCTTCGTGTCACCAAAGTAACTCCCAGAAGGAACATGACACTGCCAACAAGACCAAGAAATGTTCCAGAAGAGATCCCCAAGGGCTGCCAGACCCTAAGCCACAGGGTTTGACACACTCGGCCCTCAGCATGCGTAGTCTCTAACCCCCAGTTCCTTTTGTGTTAGCCTGGGAGCAGGAGAGTGGGTGCTGACAGTTTCTCTCTTGGCTTTGGGCGGGCCAGGGTGCCTTTCAGCTGCACTTGCAGGATTTCACCACCATGTTGGAGAGCTGCTCCACTTTGGGGGTCCTCCCGACATAGTACAAGATAGTGAGTGGCTCCAGGTCCTGGGGGACACAGCAGGGTGAAGCGGATGCCTCAGGGTTCAGCGTGTTGTATAAGCCCAGCACCTGCAGAAGCAAAGTAAATGTGGTGACAAAGTCAGGAATACATTTAGGTTGGCTGAGGACAGGAAGGGACTGCAAAGCCAACAGATCTCTGGATTTTGGACTACGCTCATCAGAGGGTATTTTCCCTCAGAGGAATTTTCTCATCAGAGGCGAGTAATGTTCCCATCACTTCCTGATCATGGCGTGCTCCTAAACGGTCACGCCTGCCCCCACCTGACTCTTAAGACTTTTGTTTTTAATTGTAGTAGCCTTGCTCTGTGGCTGATGCTTAAGGGTTGAAGGAGTGCAAGTAGTTGTTTTCTTTTGTCTCTAATTTGGTATGGTGGATAGTGTCACAATTTTTGCTTTTAACAAGGCTGGGTGTAACCTGCCTGGGGTCATGTTGTCTTGGGTTCCATTAAAGAAACCAGAAGAAAGAACATCAGTGCTGCTTATTTCAACCAACATCTCTAGATAGCACTGGATGTATGCCAATCCTCTCGAGTGTCCACAATTCCCTCCCAGCTTTGAACTGTCTGATGCTTCCTCCCTCCACTCCATCCTCCAAGTCATTACACTATAACACTGGAGCCAGGAGAGTGTCCTGTGGGAGCCCACTGGATTCCTCCTCCCAGCTGGCCCCAGCCCACAGATGACTGTACGCTTCAGCCATGTAACTGCTACAGAACAGTTGCCATGTTTCTTGCCAGAGGTGGCCGCTTCTCAGCACTAAGCAACTTCTTGAGTTGTGGGGCCAAAATGTGATCTCACCTGCACTACTGTGGTCTCATTAGTGCTTGTCTGGTATAAACGGCAGGATCTGGCATATTGTCTTTTAATTACTTTACAGTCTTTGGGGATGAGAGGTGCTAAGGAAACATCCTGGTCTATCATCCAGATCCCTGTAATTGCAGTTGTTCTAGTAGAAGCTCACTGGGATACTGGGCAAAGTACCCCTGGCTGCACCACAGGGGTAGCATGTGCTCTGGGGCTGCTCTGCTCAAGAGACAGTAGGTTAAACAGACTGGTGAGAAATCTTTTCACCATGTTTTTCCTAGGTGGTGCTGGCACACTATCAGCAGCTATATTGTTCTAAAAGTTTCTTGGATCACTCAGCTGACCTTAACGCTTGATCGTTTCTTTTCTTGCTCAAGAAAAGAACATTAGGAACCATTCTAAAATCTCCTTTCTCTCTCACTGATTCAGTCCAGTTATCTACTAGAGAGCTTCTCAGGACAACCAGATGGTAAAGCTACATGCCCATTACCCTTTCAAAGCTGTTCATTCCCTTGCCTTGTCTTGCGCTTAATGCCCAGCGTCTGTTCACTCCTTCATTCCCGTAGATTGACTGTTCCCACTGATATTAGTCCTTGAGCTTCAGCAAGCACTGCTGCTGTGCAAACTCTCAAGCTGTCAAGAAATGTTAGCATCTTTTCTAAATATCGTTTTTACCTAGTTATCTATTCTGCAGCCAAATCTGCTTTTTCCAGTAACTTTTTTAGTGAAACCTGAAGCTAAGTTGCTAGTGAGCTGTTGCATTGTCTGGACAATTGCCTTGTCTGTGGGCAGAAGCACAGGATTTTCCTCTGGCTTTTCTTGCTTCAGCGATGCAGTGCCGGCTCCTTAGTCTGTCTTCTCCCCTTGGTACTTCTCCTGTGCCCGGTGCTTTTCTATTGCTTTTGGTTTTTTCCACTCCAGACAGTAACCAGGCTCAGGTGGTATTCTTCCCAAAGACTGCCTAGTGTACTCATGCTAAGCAGAGTTATGCGTAACTTACTTAAAGACAATTGTTTTCTGCCAGTATTTACTCATGAGTCTCACTGCCTAGTAGGTTCCTCCCTGACATAGGTCAGGTGGGATTTATACAGCTGGAAAGGATGCCTGTGCAGAAAGGAGAGCTCACTGCATGGTTGGGACATTCACTTCTGGACATGGACATGGATTTCCCTTCACTTTTGGGCTACAGCTGCCCCTGTGGTAGCAAACAGCAGCTGCATGCCACAGCACAAGAGTTTTGCATGACATCCTGGTGCAGAGCGTAGAAAAATCCTCTGTCCAGTGCAAACTGCAGGAGAAATTTAGGCAGAAGATAATGACCAGAGTTGATGTTTGATGTGAACAATTCAGTTAATACTCTGGCCATTACCAAATAAGTACCCTAAAACTATCAGTCCTGCTGTTTCACATCTTATCCAAGAGACAGCATCCTCCTCAACATTTGGCTGGAAATACGGACTCAGTATTGACTCCAAAGGAATTTTTTTTGCTGAACCACCTAGATTTTTTTCTGCAGTTTCCTTGGACAGTTTTTTACAAATACGGATCTGAACTGATTTTGCTGATTCAGAGACCAGATATGACCAGACTTGGGGAGGAAGGGGGAGTCACAGCCACAAGCCCTGACAGGATAAAATGCTGGATGTACCGTGCTGTGAGTGGTGTCTGCGCTGCGGAGGTACGGACAAGGGCCTGAACAAAAGTTAGCAAAGTAGCCCTTAGGCTCATGAACCCATTTCCAGCCAAGGTCCTGTCGGAAGTCGATGTACAGAGGACGCACGCAGCAGTTCTCCTCCAGGTTCCTGAAACACAGTATTGAAATGCAGTGAATCTACAGAGGAGGCCTTATACGTGAGTGCATGATGCAGCTTCCTGAGCAGGACTAATACCAGCAGTGCCCAGTGGGACATGGTGTTTGCCTGCGCCAAGTGCAGAGGAACAGCAGAGGTGAGCAGCTCAGCAGCCTGGCATTGCTTGTGCCTGCCGGCAGGCGGTTTACCCACTAGCCCAGGGAGGCAGCACCCTGCTGCCCACAGCAGTGCCCGGCTGCTCTCCAGCACCTCAAGCTAGCAGGGGGCTGCCGCAGGTCCTTGCCCAGGCTGTGCTCCAGGAAGCCGCTTGCAAGTCTCCCTCTAGCCAGCGGCTCAGCCAGAAGCACACAGTAACTCTGCTGAGCTGGCCAGCGTCCCCTCTTGGATGCCACAAGGAGCAGCTGGCTGAGCTGTGCTCCTCATGTGGCCCCTGGGGCACCACGGTGACCCACAACCCCCGTGGAGGGCTCTGCCTTTCCTGGCGGCTCACCAGGCTTGCCCACCTCAGGCATGGCACCTGGTCACTCCAGGCAGGATTCTCACCGGAAACAGTAGTTGGTATCCAGGGCCCGTTTCTTTCTCTGGCCTCCCAACGCTGGGCTCTCCAGCCGATGTGGGGGTAACATCATCAAGATGAGGTGGGGATTATGCAAGTCTTTCTGCTTCTTCAGGCGCCCCAAGTCCCCACGGCCATAGTCATCCTCACTGTCAATGCCTTCAGGGAAAAACAGGATCCGCAAAGAAGTCATCAGTGTGGAAGTGGAGGATGCAACAAGACTTTTTCAGTGCATTTAACACTCTTGTGCCTGCCCTTGAACCAGGGTGAAAGTGATTCAGGCACCATGTCCACATACTCTAGGACTTCCTCCCTCATGGGGACCCCTTTACTCCTGGTGAATCTGACCACTGCAGATGTGAAATAGAGGCTTATGGGCCACCTGTTTTACCATTTGCAAACTGCTGGTGGGGCCACTAATCCATCCTGCTCACTCCTGGCTTTGGTCCCAGGACAGGCAGGAAGATGAATGGTTTAAAGAAGATGTCAGATCATTGGCACTCTGCAGAACAGCCTCAGAAATGGAGCCTGTGGGGGCCAGTGGCTGCAGCCCAGGGCTGCAAGCCAGGAGGTTCCTAGTTTTTAGGCCAGCCAAGCCACTGACTCTCTGGGCCACCTCACACAGGATGCCTGACTTCCTTGTGTTTCAGTCACCCTAACTGGAAAGCAGAGCCTCTGTGGAAATCTGAGAAGGCATCAATCTGAACTTCCCAGAGAGACATTGAAACACAAAAGTATTCCTTTCTGCAGACACTCAAGCAAACCCACCCAGCCTGCACTTCCTTCCTCCCATTCCTAACCTATGTACAAAATGGATATACCCATATAATCAACATGCAAACCCAGATATATATGCTTTAAGACAAATGTTATACAATGTAAAATGCTCAAATATGCAAAACAAGACCTTGTTTTTTCTTTAGATACTCCAGGCATTCACTGCCCCAACAGCCTCCCCTAGCCCAGCTCTTTATCACCTTTGAACTTGATCTCCAAGACCTCGTGCAAATTCTCCAAGATGTCCCCATTGGGCTGAAAAGTATGACAAGGACAGTGTATGCTAATTTCCAGGCCAAGGTTGGACTCTGCAAAGAAGGAGATGACTGTGAGAAACGGTCTTCCTCAGGTGGGACAGATCCAGGCTCAGGGAAGTTTCACTGAGGATGTGTACTGTGGGTCAGTCTCAAAGTCAGGGATGCTATCAGAGTTGGGGTACAGAAGCTGCCTTGGAAAGGAGAATAGGAAGCAGAATCTTGTGGCTTCACCTGTGCCAAAAGCCTTGCTCTTGCTAAAGGGAGCTTCCTGGGTAGGTGAGAAGGGTGCTCCTGGTTATGGTTTTTAGGCTATCCAAAAAAGCATTTGTGAGCTTCAAGGAGCTCCACTGGAAAACAAGTATCCTGAAGAGCTGGCTTGCAGTGTCTGTGTTAAATCAGTTTTGCCATCCTCAGTACCTGTCTACTATCTGGCTTCTGGTTAGTGTCTGAAGGAGAGACCTGAAAATGAGCCAGTTGGATAGGGACAAGTAATTTCACTGGAAGCATTTTTCTCAGCAGCTGCAACCTCCTGTTTTGTTGAACTGTTAGCAGTCTAAGTCACACAGACTTTTCAGAGGCAAGGCTATTTTCATAATAACTTCCTGGACCAGTCGTGCTGTGTGGGCCTGACTGCGGGAACATAAAACTGTTATGAAAGCTCCTTTTTTATGTTGTGTCATGAATTAAAACATCTGGCTCCCCGGGGCATTGACAAGGTGCCTAGCACCTTTTTTCCTAAGCACTGTATACTCTGTGATGTCTTGTCAGCTAGCATGCCTGCCCAGAGCTCGCTGCAGTTCCAGCCCTGAACTCCAGCCATCAGGACACAACTCAGATTGCCTGAAAAAGGAGGAGCCTACAAGCTCACAGCTTACCCTTCCAGGGAGCGGCTGCTTGCCAGTACCTGCATTCCAGTTTTCAGTGGCACCTAGCTTCTATCTGTGAGGCCAATCCAGCTGTGAGTCACGGTGCCTACGCTCCAGCTGTGAATGGGGTCAGTGTTCTTGCTGGGAGCTGCCCTGTAACTATCTGTTGGGCTGCCCAGTGGTGGCAGAGGTATGTTCTCTGCAGTGCTAAAGCCTCCATCTGTCTAGGTGTGTCAGCCTCTGGTATTTCCTCACCTTTATACCTGCCAAGCTGTAAACAGTTGAAGAAACCAGGATCGTTACTGGTTTTTCCCCACTAGATTTGCTCTAGTCCACATGAGAATTAAACCAGAGGAACCCTCATTTTCTATGTATTACAGATTATAGTTTAGACAAGCCGAGGGGACCCCTGCTTAGAATCAAAGAACCAAAAGAAGTTCCAGCATCTCTCAGTGAAAACAATTTCCTCCTCCAGAGGATGAATCCTCATCTGACTCAGCCACAGAGCTACACAGTGGGGACTCCAGGACAGAGCTAGGAATCTGGCAAACATCAGGCACTGAGGTAGCTCTCTGGGGGAAGGCTTGTTCTCAGACTGAAAGAAGCTGTCCTCTATGTGAGCCAAGCTCCTGCAAAAAGGGGAGCAGAGATACACTCCTGTCAACATTGATCCACATTTCTATGGATGCCTTGACACCCGGTCCAGCTAAGACCCCTACCTCTGTGCAGAAGCCACTCACGCACAGTCTCGGTGACATCAAAGGACAGCCACTCAGGGGACCCCCGTGTCTGCACATTCCTGCCACTGAGGTAGCGCTGCTTTGCTATGTGCTCATCCGGCTGAAGGATCTGCATCAGAAGGAGTGGTAGAGAGAATCAGCTAGTGCCGCGCATAAGGAAGGGATAGCCTTGGGTCATTTTTCTTCTACAGCTTGCTAAAAACTAATTCAGAAGGTTGGTCCTGGCAAGTGAGATACCAGGAATACCCTGGCACAGGTGAGAAAGACATGCTTCACAAACAGCTTAAGCTCCAGAGATCTACACAACGCTTATTTCTGTGTAGAAATTTCTGTGTAGAAACAACGTATTTATTTCTAAGCAGCCCACCTCTCTCAAGTCATCCTTGTTTTGGGGCAGATACCCAGAGACAGAAGCACACAGCAGCTGATCTAACGCGTGATTTTGTTTCTGTATACATCTGTGGGATGTGGGTCTGGATTTCAGAGAACCAGTAGTGAGCAATCTTGCCACAGGTCCCTTGCCCAGCAAGCCTATTGAGTCCTACACTCTTCAACTTCTATCAAAACACAGCAGGGCTGATCAGGTTTGGAGACCTTTCCCCCTACTCTGACATCTCGGTTCCCGCTTCCAGACAAACAGCCACAGCCTGTGCAAGGTGTTCCCTCCTGCAGGACCCCAGGTTCACTCCACAGAGCACTGAACCTATGGAGAAGCTCTGGGATTGTCTTCTTGCCAGTTGTGTCACCTGGTGGAGAACTGCTCTGACCTTTGAAGCTACCAGCCACAGGGCAATTTTAGCTGCACTCTTACTGCAAAGTGGACAGACACCAGCCTGTGGGAATGTGCTGCCTGGATGCTAAACCATACTGTTAGCTCAGTGGTCCAACCCAGCGTAAGACCACTTCCAAACCTGAACCAGACCTTATTCTGCCAGGGGAAGCCATATGTTCAACCCAAACTCCAGGTAAGTACCTGAATTAACAGTGCTATGAATTGTGCCCCTGAGGAGCTGCTGCTGAAGGGAACATTGAAAGCAAGCGTTATTTTTCCAGTGAATCAGTGACAAGACTGAGAGCTCCACCCATTGGATTAGCACCAACTGTACTGCGACAGTCAAAGGAACAAAACTGCCAAGGCACCTAGGCATGCAAATGTGACAGAAGGGTCAGGGCTGCTCCACTGGTGAGGGACTCCCCTTCCAACCCTCTTCTCAGTGCAGCAAATTGCTGCAGTGGGTACCATGCCAGGGTGCCCAGAGCAGCCAGCCAATGTGAGTGGGAAAAGGACAGCATCACACTGTAAAAGGAAAGAAAGGTGACTGTATCACTGCATATGCTGGAAGCAGCCTGGGGTACAGTATGAGATTTCTTCTCCCTCTTCTGTGGCTCTGCACATATCAGCTGAGGCAACCATTAAGGAGCCAAGCTATACTGGGCTCAGGCACAGGGGAAGGTGAGAAGGATGCTCACCTGGAAGAGCTCAATGCGCTGCTCGCTGCGTTTGGAGCTCAGGTTGGGCACACGCAGCACCCGAAACTCAGCCCGGAACAAGTTGGTGCTGTTCTTCTCTGCCGAGGACACGTTAAAGCGGAACACATTGGAGGTGACACCTTTTGGACAAATGCCCAACTCATCTAGGAGAAAGAAAGATGAAAAAAATGAGAACCACAGGTCAGAGGGGCAGGATCTCAAATAAATATTGAGAAAGCTTTCCAGCAGAGGCCTGTCATTCAAACATCTTGCCACCTGTGAAGCATGACTGTCTAGCTAAAGATAACACAGGATGAATTCAGTCAGATTTGGTCTATGTTACAACGGTTTGCAAAACCTTCCCACTGTTTCCACCATTATTCTAATGCTACAAGCCAGAGAATCAGTAGAGATCAACCACGGTATTTTTAACATTATCTCTTCTAACTCTGCTCATCAAATGGTGCTAATGCTCATGAGTCTGCTGCATCCAAAATGACAACGCCAGCCAAGGCAATGGGGCAACCTCATTTGTAGCTGGTGGGGCCCATTCATAATAGTGATGATGGTGTGACTCTGCTCTTGCTGGTGACATGAAGCCACAATAGGAGGTGAGCCCATTGCTGTTCAATCTTAGTTTTACAAACCTGGACATTGTCTCCTAGAATGAAAGCCAGCCAAGTGTCCACAAAGCGTTATGTGTGGAAGACTTTTTGGGGCAGTGACTATTCAGTGTGTACTGAAAGAACTGGATCAGTTCTCACTCTTGACCTGGAGAAGGAATTCATTAACAGTAGCAGATACAGAGTTCTTCAAGGACAGATTAACAGTGCTGAGAGGCCTGCAGAGATCAGACAGATGGGCAGGAAATAACACAGCAATTCTCTGCCTCAATGTGTACCTGCTGACCAGAAAAATCCATTTCACAGATGCCTCAAAAGAAAGTAGGTAAAAGCTATGAGGTCCAAAACAGTGTCCTCAAGAGAAAACAAGCCTCTCTTCATTGGGACTGTGTTGTTCCCATGGAAAAGTCTTTCTAGTCACTGCTGTTCCTCTCCTATTGACTTCTGTTAGCCTTCAAGGCTCTAGCATCATGAAGGCTTCCTGCAGACAAGACACGGCAGCTCCTGCTCTACGCCCACGTGCAGGTAGGTTTGCAGCCCTACAGAACCACCCAAGTGACCCCTGACTGTTGGCCAGTGCAACACAGGGCTCTCTCACGTCAGCTGGTATTTAAGTTGGTTTTAAACAAAAAAAAAAAGAAACAAAGAAAAACTGTCACCTGTTCCCAGCCACAGTTCCATCCTGGGACAAATAGGCTAGAAGCCTTAGCTGAAGCAACAGAATCACAGAATCGCAACCTTCAAGTTAGATTCCTGGAGTTGGCCCCTCTCTTCACACCACCACCACTATCTCACCAGGGAAACAGCTTCCAAAGATGGGCTAGTGTGAAACAGCACCTGATCATGGAGGTTCACCTCCCATGCCAATTCTGCTTTGAGAAACACCGATGCACTTCTAGAGTCATCTCTATGAAGATGAAGGTCTTCCCAGATTCATCAAGCAGGAGCCTGCCAGTTTACAAGGATGTCTTCTTAGGGTGCTGAAGTTTTACTCAATAAGCTAATGACCAGATGCTCACATTGGGCTTTAATTGGAGGGTTTTTGTCATTTGTACTACTGAATGGAACAGCTTTCCCATACAGGAAAGCCTCTGGCTGCTGTTGAAGAGATGGATGTTTGGTAATCCCAGGAGACCAGACCCCACTGCAGCTATGAGCTGCTATGCTCAGCCCAACCACCCTGGAATGCAGACTACGCCAAGCCACATGAGGACACCCACCGTCATGACTCCACCACTGTGACCAGTAGTAGGTTTTATGCCACAGAAAAGCACAGCAGAAAACCCAAGCTCTGATCTCATTAAATGCCCAAAGGCATCTTCCTGGCTGAAGTCTAACACTGGTAACTGTCCTGTGTCCTAGACCTAGGCAGATACTACGTTTTAATAACCCCTCAAGCTGTTTTGCACTCCTTGCCCTATTAATAGTGCTGTTAGCGGCCTGCCCTTCCATTTCAGACCTGACTGCCTGTCCATGAGGGCTATCCCAGTAATCATCCGAAATGCCTTTCTGGATCAGACCAGTGGTCAGTCTAGCCCAGTATCCGTTTCCAACAGCAGTGCTTCATCTGACAATCTATTTAGAGACTGCAGATCTGGTCTTACAGCACAGTGCAGATGAGAGACAAAATAATTTATTGTTTATCATCTCTTTAAGATTTTTGGCTAAGTTAGGCAGCCGCGCTGGTAAGAGATTACTGTATCTACTGTATTTTGCCTGCTGTCCTCACATTGCCTTCTACTTACTTCACCAGCAAGGTGCTGGTACCAGTCTTGGGAGATGTTGCTAGTGGAAATAGTAATCACTATCTTCCCTTCCCTAAGAACAAATTTCATGTTCCCCTTGTACCCTGGGAACAGGCCTGCTGTGATGGGGAGATGGAGCTGTGTTCTGTGTTTCACTCTGAACACTGTGAGGTTGGAGCCTGCCTCTCATAGCAGGGTGTTCAGGATAGAGGGCTTGGTCCCAGGAAGCTGACTGCTTTGGGGCAAGGTACTTTTTACAAGAAGTCACAGGCAAAGGAGGCGAGTCTATTTTTCAGGGAACTTGGTCCAGTCCTAGCTCAGGTGTGTCAATCACACTGGTATCCGGACATGTCCACCTACCAGCACAGAACAAAGCCTGGAGGCAATAATATTCCCGCAAGCTCTTCCAGTCCACAACACTCAGTGGCTGTAACCAAGCCTGGAGACAGGGAATCTTTGACACTCTGCACCCGTGCCAGCCTATGTCTGGCATGACAAGATGTAACCTCAGATTGGACCCTGCTGGTAATGTGGAGCCCAGACAGCCCAGAGCTGTTGATTGCACAAACCGTAAGACAAGTGTCCTTTTAGCGTGGACAATGTGATACGGGGAACAGGTTCTTTTGGGAGCTTCCCTCTTCCTACCACTGCTCTCAGCGAGGTGTGGGTTCTCCACGTGCTGCTGATCCCACATGGCTGCTGTTCCTGGCAAGCCCTAAGAAGGCTGATGGTTGTGCGGTTAGAGTTTGATGTCAAGGAAGGGCAGGCTGGCTGTGAGCAGGTATTGCCTCACTCCGTATTATACCACTGGTACTTCAAGGTGTTTCACGCCAAAGCTGCGTAACTTTGGAGAAAAACATTGATCCTTCTGGAACTCTGCAGACAGCAGCTTTGGAGGGCAGAGATGCTTGGCCCCAGCAACCCATGGCTTTAATTGCCTTGTGTCTCAAGCTGGCTTGGAAAATGGCATCTGTTTTTCCTCAGGGAGGTAAGCAAAACCATTTGCAGGCCCACTGCAGACACTGAGCTTGAATCTAACCAAGTCAGTGCTTAAGGGGGTCTGAACCCCGCTAAGTTTTAGGAGATCCCTGAAGTGAATGGCTGGTCAAGAGTGAGTTGTTCTCTGAAAGAAAGTCCCCTACAATTCAGGCAACTTGCCCGAGAGGCACAGCAGAAAAACCATTCCATGAGTCACCAAACAGCTCAGAGTAAGGATGGGGAACGTGGTCCTGAATATCCTTCCTTCCTAGAAGGATGGGGCTCTCCCCACTGCTATTTTTGCTCCTCAGCTCTCCTCACTTTTGGGCCTTAATGCTTTGAGAAGGACGAATTCTCTGAGCCAAGGAGCTGCTTGACTAATAGTTTGGAGCTAGAATAGTTTGTGTGCGCGTGCGCATGCATTTCAGACTTGTCTGCATCATCCTCGCAGTTCCCTCAATGGAGCAGTCCTCCCCTTCCCCCCCCAGAGGAGACTGGCTTTGGCTCAGAGCATGCTCTGAGATCACCACCTGGCACAGTGACAGAGTCATGGGAAAGTTGAACATCAGCCACTTCTGAAGACACGGGGCCAAATTCAGCCATGGTGTAAGCGATGAAACTCCCAAGGCTTCAGAATGAGCGCGTCTCTTGACACCACGGCCTGGCTGGAGCTAGTGTCTCCCAGTGTGACCCAATTCCAAAGTTCTCTCTGGGTGGTGGCATCTACACTGCCCACTCCCAGGAATTCAATCTCAGCGTTGCTTGGTCTTTTGAACCTGCTGCTCAGCACCTTTGCCCCAGTGTCCTACGGGGACATGGGAGGGATAGGTTCATTCATTTCCATAGGAATTTTCCCCAGCCCACAGCCCCTCCTCACTGCTCGTTCTCGTGCACCACGTGTCTTCATTCCTCTTTTCCCTCTACTTTATCCAAATCCACTCCTCTCACTTCATCTCCTGCTGTTTTGCTTTCCCAGTTTCCTTTCCCAAAACTCACCAGTTCATAGCGTGGCTGTACTATTTTGTACAGGCATTTGGTTTCCCCATATATTTTTAGAATTTCACATACGACACTTCAGTAGGTCAAAAATACTGAAATATGGGTAAGCTGCTGTACCCTGTGCACTTTCTGTTCCTCGAGTCTTGGTGTCTCCTAAGCTAAGAGCTGATCATATAACCATATGGAGTGCAGTCTGCTAGAGATTAAGTGAAATTTGTTGCATTACCACATTGTAGCTCTTATTCCAGCTCATCATATGTCAAGATTAACATAAACCTGGCAGGGTAACTGCATTCTGAGGCCGCCTGCACCAAGTCACAGCTCCTCCCCAGAACTGCTGGCGTTCAAATCGTGTCCCTGAGACTGCACTACATCACAGGAGGACACCCTGGGTGGTGGTATGACTGTGTGCCCACCAGCACCTTCCAATCCTAAGAGCAGACTGAAAGGCTTGCTTGTGCCTACATGTGCTCAGCATCTGCATTCTGCTTGGGGTTCATCTGTCTGCTCAGTCTCTGTCTTTGCATCTGCATCTGCTCAGCTTCTGCACCTGAATCTGTTTAGTGTCCACATCTGGGCCTGCTCATTATCTTGCTCCGCACCTGCTCAACATCTGTCATGTTGCCTCAACGCCTGTGTTCCCTTGGGGGTCCCCTGCGCATCACTGGCTGCTTTGCACCTGCTCAGCATCCCCGTTATCTTCTGCTCTCTCCCTGAAGCCTCACACTAGCAGAGTAACACCCTCGGCAGTGTCCTCCTCCAGGCAGCAGTCTCTTCAGCAAGCGCCTCTCCTCCTGCCTCCACAGCCAGCACGGGTGCTGCACAGACCAAACTCGTTGCCTGTATCTCTGCGGCAGGCGCTGGAGCTTTGGCAGGGAGGTGTCCGTCTACCTGCTCCTCACCCAAACACGACACCCGCGCCGCCTCCGAGCCCGGTGCGCAGCATTCACCCCGGGACCCCGGCTGCCTCCTCTCCTGCCGCCTCCCCTCCGCGACCGCCC